CTGGATGATGATGATGATGATGATGATGATGATGATGATAGTGGTGATGAGGTTGACAGTGGTGATGTTGTTGAAGATGATGATAATAATGTCGATGAAGAAGATGATGTTGTTGATGATAGTGATGATGATGTTGATGACGATGATAATGGTATTTATAACAATGACGATTATAATGATGATGATTATGATGATTACGTTCGTGATAGTGATGTTTGTGAAGGTAAAAAAAAGACGGCAATGATGATGGTGACGATGTTGATAGAGATCACCTCTAACGATTACAACAACAACAGAAGTAATAATAATAATAATATTATTATTATTATTATTATTATAAGCTATTAAAAATAATAATAATGATAAATAGCGATGTGAATTATTGTTGAACAGACAATAAAGAATGACATGCCTACCAATATATTAGTAAATCAGTGATGATGATGATGTTGATGATGATGTAGTTGATGATGATGTAGTTGATGATGATATAGTTGATGATGATGATGATAATAATAATATAGTTGATGATGATGATAAGATAGTTGGTGATGATGATGATAAGATAATTGGTGATGATGATGATAGATAGTTGGTGATGGGGATATAATGATGAGGATGATATAAATAAATAGTGATGAAGAAGATGATTATGATTTATAGCCATTTTGATAGTGTTAATATCGTTGAAAATGGTATTCACACCAAAATTGGTCGTGTGTGTTGTCTTCAGTTTAACGAACAGACAATATGACGATGGCACTGATAATGATATTGATGTCAGTTATGATAACGATGTCGATTGTAATGATGATGACGATGATGATGATGGTGACGACGACGCTGCAATAGATAGCCTTCTTAAAGTCACTTGAAATTAGTTAGATATTGATCGTTTCTTACGTACGTTGAGACCCAATATATTATGTTATATTTAATATTCAAACACTCTTTATTTATTCATTCATTCTCGTTTTCTTCTATCGATTTTTATGTATATAAGAACACAAACTCACACACACACACACAACATATATGTAGATATATATATATCTATATATATATATATATGTAATTTTTAAACTGTAGTTTTAGCAGACATTTTTATATATTTATATTCAATTTAAAGTTAATATACGTTATTTAATTTGCAAAAACGTTTTTAACATTTTGCTTTCTTGATGTATTTACCGTAGAAAGTAATTAAAGTGATGGTGAAGAGGAGGAGATGATGATAGCAACGGCGAATTATATGCATATGAGTTGTTATGTCGTAAGTTGTTGCTTTTTGTAATCAATCAATTAATTAATTAAAAGTTTTATTAAACTGTAAAATTCAATTTATGGAATTTAATAAAATTAATCTTCGAAAAAGCTGTTTTTATTGAATGTGCATATCATTTGAATTATAACATTTTAGCGTATTCCACAAAAAGTATCATGTATAGATGAACATCATTCACTATTTTAGAATGTTGTCATAAGAGTTAAATTGAATGTTTATAAGGTTAGCAGACAGTTTGTTATATTGATCAATGGTAACTTGAATTGATTGAATAGTTATAATTTCGAATATTTTTGTATGTGGCCTTGAAAAATTGAATTAAGCTGGTATTATTTGATGCATGTAGTGTTCTTCGTAATCTATCTTTAAGTCTTTCTTCAATTATCGCTTGGTCTGACTCTGTATCTTAAATTTAATCTTTCTAAATTTGAATTAATTTGTTCTATTAAATCTAAACACTCTATTACTATTCCTTCTATTATCTTACCTGATTCTAAAATTCTTGATGTTTCTTACAAGTTTTGTAGTCTAGACTTTATCTTTGATTCTAGCATGTCTTTTTCTTCTCAGATTAATAGTGTTGCTAGAATTTCTTACTTTCATCTACTTGGAATAAAATAACTTTTGCCTTTTCTTAACGATTCTACTCTTCTCCTTCTTGTTACTTTTTAATTACTAATTGTTATTGTAACTCGCTCTACTTTGGTCTTACAGATTCTACACTCTATACTTTAAGTAAAGCTTTTGACTCTGCTGCTCGTCTAGTTGCTCGTAGTCGTACCCTCTTCTTTTCTCATATATCACCATATCTTGTTCTCTTGCACTGGCTACCTATAAAATATAGAATAATTTTTTAAATTTGCACATTTATAAATAAGTCTCAATTTAAATTATTTTCCAAGTACTTATCAGATATATTAATTGAATCTAAGCGCGCCGGGTTACGATCGTCTTCCCTGTTTTTACTCTTTTTACTCCGGTTAAACTTTTGCTAAATTTGCTTTTTGTTTTTTCTGGCCCTTTTCTCTGGAACTCTCTACCTATTTCTCTAACTACTTCTCCATCACTTACAAAGTTTAGAGCGGATCTCAAGACCCATCTGTTTGCAAAATTCATGGAGGAGCGCTGTTGAACATCGCAGAAATAGCGCTTTATAAGCTAATTGATTTATTGATTGACTGAATATTATTTCGTTATATGATGTATTAAGCTGGTAGTTTTTTAATAGATTTAACAGATTTCCTCTGCATAAAAATGTTCAATTTGATAGTTGAAACCCTGAATAACTAACAACGTTCACTTGATATATCATGTTGGCATAAAGGAAAATTCCTTCGGAGTGATATATATGATATACAATCCATATATGAGTGAGTGTTTGCTGGTATTGCTGGCTGTTTTAACCATGGATATAACCATGGTTTTTATATTTGATTAACGCCGAGTTTGTTTTCTATGGTATCTGAGTGATAATCAATGAATCGGTTTAGCGTGTTCGGCTTCGATGTTTTGTGTAAATAAAGTCTTAAAATTAATTTAATTCGATTGATTTTGATTTGTTTTTATATTAAATTTATTGATACAAATTTTATAAAATGTCGGAGTTTGCCGAAAGAATGGTTCAGAAGATGTTACCTGAACTGAATAAAATGAGAGATCTCAAACTGTTCACAACTGTTGAAGTCAGGTTAGTTTTGGTTAAGACATTAGTTTTGGGCAAACAACTTTTAGTAAATTAAATTGTCCTGTCAATATTCTATATTCTCTATGTAGTAGTAATTGTAAATTATTTGTTTGGGCCTTAGTTGTTATTTTTAATCATTAATTTAATAATTTGATCTTGATTGAAAACATTTTTTATGATGATTTTTTATATATAGTAAATAATGTTTAAACTTTAAACGCATCTTTTTTTCAAAGTAAAATCTTGAAAAAGCGAAGAGCCCACGAGTACAAGACAAAAAGAAAAATTAAGCAGTTGAAAGATCATCTGCAATATATTGATGTATGTAAGAAGTTCTGAGTTCTAACTTAGAGCTTTTATCAATGACTGACTTTTATTTCTAACTCTGTATAATAATTATAGCTTTATCATAATATATAAAATAATATAAGAATTAGAATTTTATTTTATTTACATTTTAATATACATCTTTCATACGAGTTGACTTCATTGGATTTGAATCTAAAGTTTTTATAGGAAACCTCAAAAATTATCTCTATATAATTCTTTCTTAGAATGCTTTTTTCATTACATTGTAGCCATTTTTAATTTTTCACATCCTTTCTGTAAAAATTCATCATCATATTTCCTAATTCTCATTTTTAAAAATTTATTCATTTCTATTTATCTGAACAGTATGAAATAATGGTAATGGAGCTGATTAAAAAGCGTCGAAAGGTTGATTACTACTAATATTTGTTGAGTTCTTTTTGGTGTAAATTTCTTTAAATTTTTTTAATTATGTCACATAATTGATGTTATTATCTTTTTATTTTAAAATTATTAATTTTTAAATTTAAATTTTTTTCAAAAAAATCTTCTCGATAGATGATGAATTGTCACACCAATAAACGAGATATCGAAGTTCCTATCATTAAAAGAATCCACAGACTGTTTCAAGTATAAATTTGTTTATCATTCATTTAAATTTTTCTATTATTATTATTTTAGTATAGACAGCCTAATGATTAAGGGCACCTGTTTTTAAATGTGCCGTAACAAGATTCAAATGCAAAGAGATCCCTGCCTATATGCATTGTGTGATGTGTAGTTTTGTAATTGGTATAAATGGATTAAATAAATTATAAGTGTAGTATTGGTTTTATAAGATGGTTAAATATTTATTTATTTAATTAATTAATTAATTAATAATTTAATTTATTTAAATTTGTATTGTTTTAATGCCTATATGCATTGTGTGATGTGTAGTTTTGTAATTGGTATAAATGGATTAAATAAATTATAAGTGTAGTATTGGCTTTATAAATTGGTTAAATATTTATTTAATTAATTAATTAATTAATAATTTAATTTATTTAAGTTTGTATTGTTTTAAATGTTACCTGCTTATTTATTGTTCATTATAATTAGTATATGACAATTGTTTTTGCTGTTGAATTAATTTCCTAATTTTAAAATTCATAAACACAGACAGCCTCGATCAAGTTTTCCGTTAGTAAATATTTTTTTACATTTTGAAAATAGTTTTATGTTTGATAATACGCTAATAAATTAATTAATTAACTTGGTAACTGTCTCGTCAATTATTTAATTGATTAATTAATTTATTACAATTTGTTACTGTATAGCATTATCAATATTTTATACATTTATTTTTTTTATTTAAGATTATTTTAGAATTTTATTTATTTACGTATTTCATTTAATTTTTTATTCGCAATTTTAATAATAACAATATTATTATTATTAATTCGTTTATTCACAATTTTCAAAAATAAATGGTGAAAATTATATACCCGTACAGGGCTGTGTTGAAGTCTTCTTAAAACATATTGAGTTCTGCATTAAGATGGTTAGTTGATGTTATGTTACTGCTATTGTTTTATTCTTTTTTATTAGCTGACGTTATCAAGTTTCCTGTTGATGTAAATTGCTGTTGATGTGTGTTGTTGATGCTACTGAAAAATGTTAATCTAGATTGTTTTATATGGATGTTTATTTGTCAATCCCATGTTTCGTTTATAAATTATATGTTTATTTATTATGTTTTTTGTTTGAAATTATGAAATTAGTTTGATTTTTTTGATTTTTTCCTAAATTGATTTGAAATATTTTTTCATTTTAGAATGAAAAAATAACAATCAGTGTTTTGTTCACTCAAGCCTTGAAACTACACGCACGTAATGAAAGTTGGTAATGATGGTGAAGAGGACGATGATGATGGTGATGTATATGTGGTGATGATATGATGTACCGAAACTAATTTTGCATATTAACATGTGCAATACGATGCAATCCTGTTGTCATACATTTTACCGAGACAACCTATGCATGCATGCATTGATTTGGTGGATGTTGGCTATTTTTTTACATGTTACACAATGTGACTTGATAACGCAAATAGATAATTGGCAATATATTTTTTTATAAACGTTTATTTTTGCTAATAAAATCGCATGTTAATTGATGCAATAATTCCTCCACTGACAAATATCCATTTTTGACATTATCAGCACTTTCATTCTTATCACGAGATATCTGTCTCGTCGTCATACAACATCGTTCTTATCTTTTTCTCTTCCAAACGTCGTCAACACATCTATCCATCCATTCATTCATCTGTCCATCAATTCATTCATCCATTCATTCATCTATTCATCCTTTCATCTATCCATCTTTGCAGATTTATGGATCATGGCAGCGAAACACGAGATGGAGAGGATCAATTCAATGGCGGGTGCTCGCAACCTCTTCCACAGGTCACTCAGGTTCAATCCTCACTCCAAGAAACTTTATTTAGAAGTTAGGCCACGCCAGTACCTTATTAACTAATCTCTTATATTCATTCTTCAAATTATTTAATTATTTTCATTTGTATATCTCTGCAGTTTTGAGAATAATAAGAACGAGAGAGAGAGAGAGAGAGAGAGAGGAAAGAGAGAGAGAGAGAGAAGTGTAAGAAAGTATTAATTCACGCACCAAAAAATAAATATAATATTTACCATTTGATAAGCAAATTTATTTTTTACGTGACAGATATTTATAAAAAATAATTTGTTTATTTGCATAGTATTTCAAGATGGAGTTACTCAACGCTGAGAAATTAAGGAAAAGGAGAGAATTGTTACTGGGTGATGGTGCTGATAATGATGCTACCACTGCTGCTGCAGTCGCTGATAACGATGCTACAGCTTCTAATAATGATGATGATGATGCTGCCGCAGCTGCTTCTGATGATGATAAAGATGCTGGTGGTGGAAAGGTTAATGACTATAATAATGAATATTCAATCAATAGCAAATGATAGCAAATAGCTTTAAATTTTTAAAGTGATGCTTATTTACTAATTCCGTTTGACAGGATGAAGAAGATAGTAATAGTAATATAATGAATGGATCCGTTGCTTTTGTTGTTTTTCAGGAAGCTGTCAAGGAATTTCCAGGTGGACTATTTATAAATCATAATTAATTATTTATATCTTTGAAGATCTTTTTATAGGTTATCATTTGTTATATTATAAAAATCAGTTTATAGGTCATCATTGATTATTAGGACAATTTATGAAAATTTATTAATTATAAAACGGTGTATTGTTATAATTATAATTAAAAAAATTAATTGTTCAATAATTTCAGGGGACGTGTCACTCTACATGGAGTTCATTGATGTTTGCCATCTTTTTGACTTTGCTCGTTGGATAGAAGATGCTATCTATACCCAGTCAGTTAGTTCTCAGTGTTGAAACCATAACTAATCATAATTATTATTATAATATATATTGTAATTATTTGATGACCATAATCATCATTAACAGTCTATCAGCTGATACTGACCTATCAACAAATGATGCGGCCCAAGTGGTGGTTGCATGTCGAAAGCTAACCGAAATAGCCCACAAGTTGGATGGTAGTGGTGAGGTCATCTTGTCCAGGGAATCAAAGGCTGCTGCTGGTTAGTTGATTGGTTGGTTGATAAGGTTGTTGATTGGTTGGCTGATTAAGTTGTTGATTGGTTGGTTGGTTGATTGAGTTTATCCTTATAGTAGTCGTTTATTGAGTGATTGAGCAGTTTATTGATTGATTGAACAGTTAATGGATTAATTGATAATCGGTTAGTAATTGATTGATCGAAATTGAATAGTTGAGTCAGCAATTGAGGATTCATGGAATTCTTTCAATGACTCTCTCAAGGAATTGAACACAGGCTAATAATATTTTTTTTTCATTTTCCTTTAATTTTTTGCTGGCAACATAAATTTTTTATTCCCATATTATTATTTCTTCTATATACGCACAATCACTCATTGCTGCTTGTTTCTACATTTGCTGTAAAGGAAGTACACATCACGGCAGCTAATTATAAATAAGTACCAAAGATAAATTATATTGTAATGAAAATATCAATGAATGGCAATAATAAAACACTGGCAACATTAAACTAAAGAAATAATGATGATAATAATAATAATAAATACCGATAAAAATAGAATCAAAATGGGAGATATACTACGATAAACTGTTGAGCATGTCAAAGATGACATTCATGTCACACGACTCATTGGATTCAGTGAGTGAGATAAATCAGTTGGTTGATTGCTCGATTGATTGATTGATTGCTCGATTGATTGATTGATTGATAAAAATCACCCATTGAATGAATAATTGATTGATTAATTGATTGATTGATTGATTGATTGAATAAAAGATTGATTGAATAAAAGATTGATTGAATACTCATACACGAACAAAAATGAACACATGCCCACAATGATGAAACAGCTGATGAAGCACATGTTGTTGATCTGTCTGGAGTGCGCTGACAGAAACATGATGAGTGAATCACTGGCTGTCAAGTGGGTTAGTGTATTTTTGTACTGATACTTTTTCTCTGCGTGTGTGCGTGCGTGCGTGTGTTTTTCATTAAAAGTTTTCTCGTTCCAGCTTCAACTAAATTTTAATTTTCAAATATTCTTTAGAAAAAACTTTTGTTATTACTATAAAAATCTTAGTAAATGTAAGGTTTCATTTTATGATTACGATGTGTTGTTTTAGATCGAGTTGCTGACAGAATTGAACGAGAATGAGTTTGCATGTCAGATCGTTCCACTGCTGGCCAACAAGTTTCCATGCAACGCCACCATCTGGCTCCTCCTCTTCTCACTCATCACATCCATGCAGAGTTCAGATGTTCAAACTGTTCTGGATTTGTTGCTGGAAAGCATGAGATACATCGTTAATGTTCGTCAGTTTGTTCGTCTGCCCTTGTTTGTCTATATCTCTGTATGTGACTTGTGTGTAGGTCTGGAATGTACGTTTTTTTGTGTTCTTTTGTGCACGTAAACGAATTAATAAATGAGTGAGTGAATAACCAGATATAGGGAATTATTGTGATAGCCATTAAAAGGTGAATAAATGTTTCGGATATATATATGTGAAAGATTAAGAAGTAGATGATTGATCCAACTTTAGAAACCAGAGACTATACAGATATGGAAGATGGTGACGTCCTGGATGGTTATGCCGCCTGAAAAAATGGAACAAATGTTTGAGGTGCGAATTATTTTTCTGTTCATCAAATTAATTTATTTACACTGTTAATTGATTTTTCTGTTTTTTATGTCTTATTCTTATTTGTTTTTCAAATATTGTCTTATGATAGGTTAAAGTTTATAATTGAAATCATTGTCAAAAATGCAGATAAGTATAGGAACGAACAACAGGAATCTGACAACATCCATGAAAGAGGAGTACCTTAATTGGGCCATCCAGTCCAAACCAGTTAAATACTTCAGGAAACTATTCAATAAGTTTGTGGTTTCCAATTGTTTTTTTTTGTACAAGTTATATGTAATGTGAAATGTTGAAAACTTTTTGCGTAATTATTAATCGTAGTATGTATTGGGAATGTTGATGGTGTATTTCCTTCCTGAACAGGCTGTCAATGAGTAGGCCCTCATCAGTGAAACTCTTCAATCTCTACATTGAAGCTGAACTCTCTCAGGTCTGTTTCGATGTAACAATTTTTTGCGCCTAACATTGGTTAAAGACAAATTTTTCGAAATATAGTAATAAGCTAATTTAATATAAATTTTAAAGTTTAATTTTTTTTTCAAAATCAGCCGAAGGTGAAATCCGTTAAAGTAAGAGATGCTTATGAATTAGGTGTCTCGGAATTTGGGCAAGAAAACGTCGGTCAGTGTTATTTACACTTCTTTTTTTAAATGCAATACCCTAAAAATGTTGGTTAAAATGTTGCTTTGAGATTTGGCTTATTCGCGTATATTTTATATCATGTATATTGCTTATATTGTAATTTTCGTACTATTTGATTGCTCATTCCACCAAATTTCATCAATTTCTACAGACTTATGGATGGACTACATCAAGTTTGAAATCTCGCACGGCAATCCTGAAAATGTTGGCCAAATATATTTTAGAGCCGTTAAAAAGTTGAACCCGGGATTAGAAAGCAACTTCATCGAACAGTATTCACTTTTTAAATGCGAGAATGGCATTATATAGCTGTAAATGTGTGACCGACGTTTTTCTGTTTTTGAATTTAAGTTTCATTTAATAAAATAATTTTACAAATATTCTTGATCGTGTTATTTTAAGCTAGGACTGCACTGTTGTACTCTTCCTTATACAGATGTGAGAATCAACGCCGAGCGTCCATTGCAATTATTTATATAGGGAAGAAAATCTCAACAACAACACACGTTTAGACGACATTTCCCCCGAGATCGGGGGTTGCCGTTTGGCTACCTATGATGAAACTGAAATACCCCTCAACGCCATTCTGCCGGATACTGAGGGCCATTGTCACTTCTGTCATCATAAGTAATTTATTTGGCTAATTTTTACGCAGGACGCCCTTCCTTACGCAACCACAGTTATAAGCGGTGGGCCTAGCCTTTGATGATCCAACATCACTCACAAGGCAGTGAGGGTCAGTTTAATGTCATAATTTCCAGGACAGAGGGAAGAAAATCTCAAGATTGCAAAAACTAAAAAACAATATTAGAAGTTTAGAAGTGTGACGCGAACGCTTCCAGGTTATAAAAGGACGTAAAGAGTTCCTGAGGAAAGGACCAGATAAAGCAAACGCAAACTTAAAGCACGGGTGTTTAACCGAAGTTAAGAAGTATGACTAAGACGATCGTAAACCTGGGCCTTAGGTGTAATATGTCTGATAAGTACTTGGGAAATAATTTAGATTGAGGCTCATACATTAATATGCAATATTGATGCTATTTTAATTAAGATAATAATTTTTACAATTTTTGATATATCGTCATAGCAGTTTTTATTTTTAGTCTTCAAGATTCACATTGGGATATTGTTTGCGGCTGTTTACTTAGCAGTCAATAAATATTTGCTCATGAATATATAAATCCATATATTTGCTTAGGACGCAAATATATATCAATATTTTTGTTCAGCCGAATTTACATTTCTCTGTATACGTGTTGTAGTCTGTTCTCTGTTCATGTAGTCATAATTTGTCTGCAAGCAAGTTATATAGAAAACATGCCTTTACTTACATTTCGATATTTTGTCTAACATCTTATATAGCTATACAATTTCCAAAATGATATGTAGAACACTTGTATCGCGTGAAGCAGATGGTTTTTTTTTCTTAATCCCAATCTTCATAAAATATTTAAAATCAATTAATTAATAAAAATGATTAAAAATAACTGTACGGGTTAGTTCGCATAACCAAGCTTAAAAATATGTGATGGGCATGGATATTATATATACCCATGGTGGTGGGTTCTTTTTAACAGTTATCCTCATTGAATTCGACTTAAAACTTAATAGCTCTTAAAAATTAATAGGAACAACTGCCAATAATTACTTATTACTAATTTAAATCATAAACATTGAAATATAAGTTTACCTTATATTGCTTACTTTTTATAAAACAGTTATAATTTATAAGGTAAAATTTTTAAGTTTATTTATGCCTTAACCTACGTGAACCTTTTGGAACCAATAAAATACCTTTGCTTATTTAGAAATTCTTTTTTAAATGTGAACATTTTTTTTTACAATTTTAATGGCCAGTAGTGGTTTTTTTTACCTTTTGAATTATAAAGCTCCATGGCAATCTTCGAATTATTATTTATCCTACCAAAACATTTTATTTTCACTATTTTTCATCTTTACAAAATTATTACTTTCTTGATGAACGTTAGCTAGCATGGTATTCATGTTTTATTTTATCTACTATTTGTATTTAAATAATTAGTTTTAATTATTTAATTATTTTTAAATTAAATAAATAATTAATTGAATAAATGCCTAACTAAGTTACTAATGAACAGAAAGAAAAATTTGGATAAATCTACTAAAGAAACTCTAAGTCTAAGAAGTCTAACTAATGTCTTGTTCTAATAATTAATAATATAATAATAATAATTAATAATGCTAGCAAATGTTGTCTGACTTTTTACAGAAGAACAGCTGGTTTCTTGGTGGATCTGGTAAATGTTTTAGAAGCGAACAATGCATTTTATGTTTCGACACTTTTCAAAGTATGCACTCTTTGTCTTAGGGATATGTTCTGTTACCAGTTACTTGCTTCTTGCTTTCTCAAATTTTAACGACGACACGATAATATTGTCCTGCAAAAATCCTTGCCAAGGAGATGGTGATAAGCATAAGGGTAATGGTGGTAATGATGACAGTGAGGTGGTAGAATTTAATTTAGTGAAAGCAGCAAATTGCCATAGTAGCTATCACAACCACAAATTATGTCTGATTGTGCCTTTCCGTGACCGATTTGATGAATTGTTGGAGTTCATACCGTACATGAAAAGGTTCCTCTGTCAGCAGGCAGTCAGGAATGAGATTGTTGTTATAAATCAATCTGATGACCTTAGGTACTTCAACTGTTGTTGCTAATTATTTTTAAAATTGTAAGGTTTTAATTTATTTTTATGGATATTAATATGATTAAATTAAATTAAAATTGAGAAGATTATTTTTTTCAATTGGAAATCAATTTTTTATTTATTTAAAAAATGAGATAAAGAAATTGAACATATCTTTATAATCCATGAATAACTAACCAGATATTAAAAATTAAATGTTGTATATGTTTTATAGTTCTGTGTTTGTTTTTATAAAAATGATAAAAAAGATGTTTCACTGTCAGTATTTTACAATTTATTCAAAATAATAATACTATAAATAATAGTATAATTATAGTATAATTAAATAATATAATGTATGATAAAACAGGTTTAACCGGGGCTCATTAATAAACATTGGTTACCTGATCGCTAAACATCATTTCGGCTGCGATTACATAGGCATGCACGATGTCGACTTACTGCCTGTAAATGATCAGCTCAATTACTCATATCCCAGCAGCAATCCATATCATGTTTCTGCCCCTAATCTACACCCCAAATATCATTACAAAAATTTTGTGGGTGGAATTCTATTGATTAAAAATGAACACTTTGAAAAAGTTTGCATGTTTTTTTTGTTAACATCAATTTATTGTTTTTAGGTGAAGTTAAAATTTCATTATTCATCATAATTTGATATTTATAATATTTTTTGATATTGATATGTTGTTGCTAGTTTTTTATTTCTACTTATTTTTGAAGTTTTTTATATTTTATATTTTTTTTTTGTATGAAAATATTTTTTCACAATTTAGGTGAATGGTTTATCTAATCGCTTTTGGGGCTGGGGTAAAGAAGATGATGAGTTCTTCAAAAGGTTAAAAGTTGCTAGCTTAAAGGTAATCATGAGGTTTCTATAATGGTAATTTAGTCAGGTTTTTGTTATAAATAAGTACTTGTAATTTTCGTACTCAAATCTTAAATTTCTGATGTCAATGCCTTGAATGAGTTTATTTTACAAAAATCTAGATAGAAAGGCCAACAAATCTAGACACAGGCAATAAAACATTCAGACATATTCACAATAAACAGAAGAGACCAAGAGATTATGAGAGATTTGGTGATCAAGTTTTTGTGAGTTATGATGTGTATATGTATGTGGCCTTATGTTGTATTGTCTTTTTTTGTAATAAATGCTTTTTCTATTATATTTATTTTATAGCTTATTTAATCATCCGAATATGAACTTTTTTGTACACAATGCTAACAATTTCAGCTATAAGAATTATAGAGACGTATGTTAGAGATTCATTAAAATAAGATTCAGTTGTTTTAACGTGCGTGCGTGTGTGTGTGTGTGTGTATTTGTATTTTACACATTTGGTTGCGTGCTTCTTTTTGATCGTGTTTGCTTGCTCACATACAAAATTTACAAACAATGTTATAGAAATGTAATTTTGACGCAGATGTCTAAGCAAAAAGACAACACAACTGGTCTGAACAGTCTTTCATACACAGAAATATCTCGAAACCATCTGACCGTCGATGGTCATCTAGCACTCGTCGTTAACGTTCATTTGTCGTGCAACGTCTATGAGACACCATGGTGCATGCACTACAAACAGCTGGTCGACTACACCAAGGAGTTGGTTACAAGGATGTCATCCAGGGAGTTTCGTGAATTCATGGAAGTCCTCAAAAGCCACAGTATTACAATTCAATAGTTCTTATTTTGTGCTATATCATTTTAAAAATCGTGTTTCTTTTTATTATTTCTTTGTTTAAATTTTATTATTTTTAATTTTTCGCCCTACCCGTCTTGGATATTTTTTTCGTCTGCTGATCTTTGTAGACGTTTCTTGTAATTTGTAGATCACTTCATCTGTTTTTGTTGGTCACGAGTTTTCAATTTACTGAAAATTTAAAAAAAATCGTGTTTTACATCGTGAGAGAGACTCGCGTGTGTCAGTCTTTACTGTAATGCTTGGTTGAATAGATGCCTTATGGCGGTTGGAGCGCTACATGATGACAATGCGGATCGGGCTATTTATTTGACTTCCTTGGGTTGTTGGTTTACGAAATAGCATGGGTTTTAACGATCAAGCTATATATGGAATATTACTTAATAGTTAATACGTTTAAAACAATGTAGTAATTTTATTTAATTTTATTAAATAAAATTATGTGTTATTAAATTATTTTGTTAATTTGAATATAAAAATAGCTTTTTTTCTGGTGAAATCTTACTAATGCCATAGGTTGTCTTACTAGGGTTGGACTATACTATAGTCACTCTTTTTTTACCCTATTCGATCATGTTAAACTTTTGTTTGCTTATGAAATAAACGGCGTGAATAGATCAAAATTGTTATTTTAACAACTGTCTTCATTATATTTAATGAATATTTTATATTCAAGTGCTCATAGAAATTGGTTGCTGAAGCCTTTGCTGAAGAATTGAGTGGCTTGCTGAAGCCTTTGCTGAAGAATTGAGTGGCTTGCTGAAGCCATAAGTTAGTTTACTAGGATTGAACTATAGTCACTTTTTTGCATATATATATATACAGTACTATGAGATACTGTTTAATACTGTACTATCAATCAACTAATCAAATCAACCAAACACACAACCAACAAATTCGAATAGTCAACCAATCACTCATCCATCCAAACATTTATTAAGCAAGCAAGCAACCCATATATATATATATATATATATATATATATATAGAATATACTCTCTATATATGAAACAATCAATCAACTGTTCAATAAATCATTCATTCAGTCAACTAATCATCCAACCAATCGACTAATCAGTTAATCAATCAACTAACCACTATCTCAAATTGATTGAAACAAATGACGAATAATGAAGAAACGAAAAAAAAACAAATAAAATAAATTGCTTTAAAAAAATATTTGCGAGGTTTGCTGGAGCGCCGACAAACGTTCAATCGAACATACATATCAACAATTTCTGCTCGCTTGGCTTTATCAACGTGGACCCCAGAGAGACTCAGCTATGGACATTAAATAGGAATCGAATATAATGATTATACTTGCTAATTCACCATCGTGCAGTTAAATGACTTATAGTTAAAATGACATCATTTACTTCAACGACAAAAAAAAGAAATTCTGATTGGCTTGTTTGATTTTTTATGTTTGATATGTTTTTGTATAATGTATAATACATATAATGTATAATGCATGTGTAACATATAATATATAATGTTTTTGTATAGTATAATGATTAACAGTAACGCGATATTTTGGTAGTATCAAAATCAACAACGATTTTGCAAGAAGTTTAATTAAAATTTGTTCTTAAATGTCAAGGTCGGTTTATTTGATTTGTTTTTGTTAAATCAAAAATATCATGTATGTGATTATGTCTGTGCTTATGCATGTGTGAATGTTAGCAGGTATGTGTAGGTGAAAGTTTGTGGGCATGAAATTAAATTAAAAAATTTTTAAATGTCAAGGTCAGTTCCTCTGGTGTGTTTTGCCAAATCAAAAACATCACGTACGGGATTATGCATGTGCTTATGTATGTGTGAATGTTATCAAGTATGTATGAGAGAAATGATAAAATGAAAAGTTAAACAAAGAAAACAACAATGCTAATCAAGCTAAATTGACGTTAACGAACGATCCCTCGAAACTTTCTGACATTATATAAACCCATTATAAAACAACAGTATTTTACGTATGTTCGCACGCAGTTTAAATTTTTCTGAGAAAATTCAAAATAATTTAAGATCACACATTAAAACAATTTTACAATTTGAATGTATAAATATAACAATTTAAATGTAGAATAACTACAGATATCTACTTTATATTTCTTTATTTAGTTCTGCGTGCGTATGATATTAGGTAAAATTTATTTGATAGGAATCGAATATAACCTTTATACCGGCTAATTCCCTACTATGCAGTTAAATAACTACTGTTAACTTGACCTCATTTCCTTCAACGATTTCGCAACGAATTGCCCATCCTATTTTAAAAGTTTTATTTGATGTTTTTTAATTAGTCAGTCACAATCATCATCATTATCGATATCGCAATGAAATCAAATTGAGAATTTTTCAAAATTTTTGAAAAAATAATCTTTATTCATTTTATGATTACTACTTTGTTCAATAAGATACTGTTTGATACTATCAATTAACCAGTCAAACAACAATTGAATCAATCAATCAACCGCTGAATCAAATCAACTGACCGAACAATCAATCTATCAATCAACCAAACTTACCAATCAAACAATCAACTAATCAACCAATGAACCTCGAATTATGTAATTTGAAATTAAATGTTTAAAACATTAGTTCGTCTTCATCTCGAGTATTGCTCACAGGATTGGAGTACAGATCTGCAAAAGGACAAAGACATTCTTGATCTGGTACAGCGTAGCGCAACAAAGATGATCGAAGGAGTTGGAAAACTAGAATATAGGTCCTATAGACTGAAAGAATGCAGATTAAAAACAATAGAATGAAGAAGATGCAAAGGAGATCTGATCCAGACATAGGTTAATAATTGGAAAAGAAGAAACACCGTTCACCAGGTTCTTTCAACTAAAAAACGAAAAGGATTAAGAGGTCATAGATACAAGCTTTTCAAGAAGAAAATCCAATAAAGCAAAGATTCTTCAGCAGCAGGATTGTAAACGCCCGGAACGAGCCGAGCGATGAAATTGTCTCAGTGGATTCAATCCACAATTTTAAAATCAAGCTAGGAGAGCTAAAATACTAAGACATTTATTTTGTAGTGGTTTTTATACAGATGCTATTCTACTGAACCACTTTAAACTGTTATTAATTATTGTTATTATAAGTCAATAAGCCAAAGAAGTCAAATAGCCCGACCAGTTAATGTTTAAGTATTTTGTTATCACTGTTAATTTTTAAATTGTTTTTTGAACTGTAAACATTTGTGGACATGTATGCAATGCAATGAATTTTCGGTGTAAAAATAAACTCGAGATTGTGATAATTTGATGATCGAGTTCAAATTCTGATCTAACGATCATGTTGAATAATCAAATGAAAAAAAAGCGATCGGATTTCAAGTTCGGCAAACTTATCGGGGAAGGCTCCTTCTCCTCTGTTTACCTCACTAAGGAAATTTCGACAGGTAGCGAGTTTGCAATTAAAGTTTTAGAAAAGGTACACATTTTAAGAGAGAAAAAGCAAAAGTATGTTATGCGCGAGAAAGAAGCGCTTCTAAAAATTGATCACCCATTTTTCATTAAGCTACATTTTACCTTTCAAGATGAAGATCGCTTGTATTTTGGGTTAAATTATGCCCGCAATGGGGAATTGTTAGACCACATAAAAAGATTAGGCAATTTTGATCTAAGCACTTCCAGATATTATACTGCAGAAATTGTTTTAGCTCTTGAATATTTACATTCAATTAACATTATCCACAGAGATTTGAAACCTGAAAACATCTTGCTGAATGATGGCATGCACATTCAGATTACTGATTTCGGATCAGCCCGCATTTTAACTGCTGAGGATTTGGATGAAAATTTCAATAATCTTCAACTCAATTCCAACGGTGATGAGAAAGGTGGAGACCTCAATGAAGCTGAACAACAGAATATAAAAGAGCAAAGAACTAGAAGGCATTCCTTTGTTGGAACGGCACAATATGTTTCACCTGAAGTTCTGAACAGCAACATATCTTGTTTCAGTTCTGACTTATGGGCATTAGGTTGCATGTTGTTTCAGTTTCTCACAGGCAATCATGCTTTTTCAGGCAACCACGAGTACCAAATCTTCCAGAAAGTTATCAAGCTTGAGTATAAAATACCAGATGAGTTTGATGAATCAGCAAGAGATCTTGTGGAGAAGTTATTAGTTCTCGATAGAAGTAAAAGATTAGGCTGTCGTGAAATGGGAGGCTATTCAGTACTGAAGTCACATAAATTCTTCGGTGACCTGGAATGGAATAATTTAATTAATGCTGTCCCACCTCTTCATCCACCTGACAACAAAAACAAATGATTAATTTTGATTGTTGAACTTTTAATCAGTTTACTAGAACAATGGAACAACAATCATTTGTACTTATTATTAAAAATTATTATCACTAACTGAGAATAATGTTAAGCAATTGAAGTAAATCTATTTGTTACATGTATTTTGCACTACTTCATGAAAAATGTAGTATTTTCCAATGACACTTTCACAACTAACCTGTCACTAAAGTTGCATCATCTAATTGTATGCTTCATGGTGTTGTTAGCAGTTTGTATTTGTCAACTTGTGCATTTACGTTCCATAGAGATTTTATTTCATAGAGTATGAAAGTTTACGACATGTTGGACGACGTTTTTTATCTTTTTCTTTTTGTTTCTTCATCATTTTTATACTTTAATGGAATGACGTATTACTGCATTTCACGACGCATTAGTTTCTTATTAAACATTCTCAATGCTTATTTTTAGATTTGCACATCTTTTTAAATGAATGTTAGGCCAATCAATTAAGAATTTCAAATGATCAAGGCATGGCATGTAGAATGTTTCAAGTACAATGTAGGTAATTTAATTAAGGTTTTGTGTTTGTTGATGAATTATTTAAACGTTTTTACTTGGTTTGTTTTTTTTAAAATTCTCGTTCTCGATTTTGGGTGGATGCTATGTAATAATAAACAAGCAAGGACAGTAGGTGGATCGACGACTGAACAAATAATGAAATGAATGAATGAACGAATAAAATAGATACAATGCTTATGTTCGTGTGTGGTTGGTGACTAAGTATAGAATGGTTAATATCAGTTATATATACTTCTTGTATTTGCTCTTTTGAAATGCTTCAAAATCACATTGTTTGACTAAATGGCAAGCTCATTCAGTGACGTTTGATTCTTATTAAATTGAAAATCAACTGTTACAATTATGCGAGTATTGCATACTAAAAAGCAAACTCTGAATGTAAATGAAGAAACATTTTTACAATACTCTTCCGTGTATTTATTAAAATTTTTTTAACACTCTTTACCAGTGTCGAAGCCAGGAAATTTCTGTGGAGGCTTTGATTTTTTCATGATTTCCATTTCCATACAACCTGGAATTTGTGCTGTAAATTGAAGCCTTCTCCAGGATATTCGAAAAGAAAAAACTATAACGACAGACAGCGTTGTTTAAAATCATTTTAAACGCACCAAATTGTATCATATATAGTGTATCAACGTCTGTTCTTTTTTTGTTCGAGTAAGAGTTACTAATTCTCCGACAGGATGACATTGCCATGAAAACAATACTGACTAGTTGGCTTCTCGTTTTCGTCTTGGTCTTGAAAATTAAACTAGTTCTTGGACTGAGTTGTTCATAATCAAACTATTGTTATTGTAATATTCAAGATTTTTATAAAATTTGTTAATTATTAGTTAGACTATACTTATTCGAGTAAATTTTTTTTAAATTAATTTTTTCATTGGACTTCAAAGTTCTACTTTGCTCTTAAAAATAAATGAATTGAATAATTGATTATTATAATATTGGCAGGGCAGGATATTTATGCGTTATGAACATGTTGCCAACTGCTATCAATGCTGCACAGACACACACACACACAAATTTCAAAATATCTATATTTGCCATTGTTCTACAATTGAATATTTGATTCATAAACACTTTTAAATACTGAAATTTTTGAACAAACAATCAAGAAAACATTTCTTCGAAATTTTCTTTCAATATTTTCCCAAACCTCAAAGATAGATGAGATGGGGGTTATGATTTTGTTGGTGCTCTGTTGCATTTTATCACATTTCCTCATTGACTGCCTTACGTTGAAGGTTCTTACCATTGTGATATTTTTATAGTTAATTTTTTTAAAGTTGACAACATATTAACATTATTGGTTAAATTTACAGTTAAAATAAGCAACGAATTTTTTCGTTTATTAAAATTTTCGTGTCTATTTTAATCTTTTAATTAACCAAATTGAATCGTTCTTTTTATTTTTAAATCAGGAAAACAATGACAAAGGTTAATATTATTTCATTGATTATGGTTGGAAATAATTAAAAATCAAATTAATTTCATGTAAAAGTGCTATCAGAAAATGATTCAACAAACAAAATTAATGAATTTCACACTGACAAAATAAAGTCAAGAAATTTTTTACATCAAAACTCAGAACTGATACGGAATAAAAGACCATGGGAAATCAGTGGCCACATAGCCGGCTCATACAAAAGTGATAGCAGTAGCGACAACAAAAATAACGCCGGCGGTAGTAGTAAAAGTGGGAGTAACAATGGCGGTGGTAAAAGTGACGGCGGCAAAAGTGGTGGCGACGGTAAAAGTGGTGGCAAAAGTGGTGGAGGAGGTGGTGGCAAAAGTGGTGCAGGAGGCGGTGGCAAAAGTGGTGCAGGAGGTGGTGGCAAAAGTGGTGGAGGAAAGAAAGGTTAATTTCATTTACCAAACGCATTGGGGTGTAAATTGTTTTAATGATAATAATTATTTGTTATATTGAAAATAAAGTCGTTGAATTTCATTGTTTGTTTGGTTTAAAATGGACGATTTTTGTTTACATTTGTAACACTTTCCACGTTTGGACGGTGTTTTTATTCTTATCAATGCATTTTAATATTGTTAAAGTTATTAATATAACAACTAAGTTGGAATGTTGTTCGTAATATAAACATTTATTGTACCGGTAACACTTGTTTGTTTGTTATTGAAAATGTAAAAGAAAAAATTTGTTTAGCACTCAAAAATGTAATGAAAACACAAAACACTCACCAACTCAAAAAGTCTGAGTAAAATACAAAATTAATTAATTGGCGTCAGTGTTTAATGCAAATGTACTATTTCACATATTTCACATTTATGTGTTAATTTTCCTTCAATAAAGTAAACAATCAGAGAATAGTTATTAGACGGCAAAGTTTAAAAACTTAGAGTTATTTTTCGAAACCAATAAAATCGAAATTTGGTCAACTGGTCAAAACATCAACTGGCCAGAATATCGCAAAATAAGATTATTTAAATTTTAAGAATGCAGAGCCAACTCTGGCGCGCTTTCTCAGACACTCTGCAACAAACAACATACCCCGTATCTATTTTAAGAATCCCTGACAAGAGTTGAACTAAACCGATCAATTTTTCATTCATTTTTTCCACCACCACTAAATCAGTAAAACACTTCAGGCAAAATATTCACTACCCTCTCTTCCATATAAAAATTTCCGCGCTGAATGTTGCAGACGACGAGAAAGAAATAAAAATAATAATCAAATATTTTAGGCAAACCACCAAACAAACGAATTCAAATTATGGTCAGTGCATACGTGCTAACTGATGTGCTAGGCTGCTTACATTCATTCATTCACGCGTGGTTAGGTAGAGATAAAAGAATAAATCGAATTAATGATTCAGTGCGCACTTCATTTATTTATTTATTCATTCAATTCATTCACTTATTTATTTAGGAATTCAAATCCACATAATCACACACACACACACACACTAATATACACACACACAAATAAACATTCACACATATACGCACACGCACAAAAACTCGCATACTAGTACACACACACACACTCGCATGCTCGTACACATACACACACACACACACACAATTTTTTATATATTAACAAATTTTAGATAATAATTTTTGGAAATTTATTGATAATTAATTATAACTAACAACCTATTACTATTGATCAAATTTAATAAAATGTGTTACAAAAGTGATAATTTATTACAAAGTTCATGCATTGTTATATATATATATATATATATATATATATATATATATATGAGTTTACATGTCCCCTTGACGGCGGTGCCCGTCAGAATGTTCCACATATCGGAGTAACTAAACGTCGCTAACCAGACGTCTGACCGTGCACAAAAGGCAAGATTCTATAAAAACACACTTAGAAGACACACATAATATTGAAATTGCAAAAGAAATCCTGGAAAACAACACCGAAATACTATACTGTAATTCCAGCCACTCCCATCTGAAATTAGCCGAAGTCGTTCTCATCGACATAAAACAACTCCTGATGAACCAACAACAAAACATTTCAATAATACTCTCGACAAGAAGGACAATAATGAAATATGCTAACAACACCAATGATACCGATGGAGACACTGGAGAAAGTAATATAGAACAAAGTACCATCCAAGGGCAAGTAAATAATATCAATAAAATTAACGTAATCGATGTGAGAAGCATTTTCGACATCATCCTCAATCGTGATTGGATGCGATGATGAGATGCTGTTGCATAGAGACCTACCATCGTACCAGCTCAAAATCTGGTCCTGCATTTTGTAGCACTTGTGGTATTCTATCACGTAGTCGAAATTCTGCGGGCAATCTATGGCGGTGATTTGAAGAAACATTAAAAATGTTCAGTCATTTTGAAAAATACTTTATCAAAATTTAAAAAATTGCATCGTACAAACCGTGATTAACGTAGCATTGCTGTCCATCGTAAACTGAATTTGAAGGGATAACGTCGTAACGTATGTTAGCTTTGGGAACACATGAACATGATCCATTTGAATGAATGTAATTCACCCCTCTCACTTCATTATTCATCATCCCCTTGAAAAGACAACATCATTTATTATGCCATAGAATTGAGTATTTTTTAAAAATTATATATTATAAATATACTATTAATTTATATATTTTGTACAGAAATTTTTAAAAATAAATTTTTCAAAAGTTTAAAGCATAAACATGAAGAACTTACCAAACATCTGACAATGCATTCCTTTAAATTTCTGCTCTTAACGTTGAACGGGAGTGTCATTCGATCATCAAAACAAACTGATGTCTTCACGTTATCCGCCAGCAAATAACTGTACGCCGGTCTGAAGATCTGAGACGTTGCACGCTGAACTTCTACGCTGATACTGACTTGCGTGACGACGAAATATATTTTAGAAATTTTAACAAAATCTTCAAATTTAACACTGCTTAAAAAAGACATTTTTAATCTACTGAAATATTCCAAACAAAATAAATTTTTCATTTTCAATGCGTCTGTACTAAATGACTCCCTATATTTATACTTTTTCATCTGTGATATCTGTCTACAATATAATATATCTATAATATCTATATTGCTATCTGTATTTATTTATATATTTAGGATGAATATAAATAGAACTAATGATTTTTTTAAACAAAAAAGAAAAAAGTATGAAACATCGAAAACGTTTAGCGTAATTTTGTTCTAACGACATTGACGATAATATCCATCAATTAACAACGACATCCAAGTGAACTCTTCAAAAAATTATAAGTAATTATGAGTTATAAGTTGAATTATTTTCAATATTTTCAAAAATTGTAGATAATTATGAGTTACACATTGAATTATTTTCAAAAATTATCGATAATTATTAGTTATACATTGAATTATTCTTAATATTTTCAAAAATTATAGATAATTATGACAATTATACATTTAATTGTTTTAATTATTTGCACATCGTATCAAAAGGTTGAGATCAATATTTCAAAAAGTCTTGTGATACGGAAGTTGTCGTTTTAATGATTATGTATATATATATATATATATATATATATATATATATATATATATATATATATAATATCACAGCCTTACAGGTAATGTTCAATTTGCAGTTGAGTTTTTCAACTTTTCGTACGACGAATTTCAGTTCATGAGTTCATCCACCAACCTACCCATCCTAGTGTACTGCTAGATTTAAATGTATGTAGGATGTATCTCAGGATGTATATGTACCTAAAAAATATATGGTTGAAACTTTTTAGACGTATCGATTCTGAGTGGCACAGTCTCAAATGAAGCTTGCCTATTTTTCACGAAATCATACAGGGCATATCAGTGGCAGGCTAGCAGAACATATGGACTTTTAGAGTAATTCCATATATATCAAAGAAGCAATATCAATAAAAACTCTACACAAGCTTCTATTATAAATCTAATAGAAAACCTAGAAGATTATTTAAACAATTAAAATCAGACCATTGTCACTTCCTTAACGACTACCAAAACAGAAGGAACCCAAACATGCCAAAAATCTGCCCGCCATGTTACAACGTTCCTCGCAATGTTAAACATCTTTTCAACTGTCCAAACAACTCAACGGAACTTCAACCAATTCGTCTTTGGACAAATCCAACAGAAGTTTTTGTTCGTGTTCGGCTAATAAATTACAACAACAATCTTCGAATAAACAATAAACCGATTTTTGGCAACAACAACGACATAGCGAACCTATCCATATGAACAACCTAACAAACATGTAGTTCATCTCTCAATTTGTATTTATATTAAACCAGTATAATGCAACACACGCATATATATCACGCAATTTATGATGCGTTAACTCACGCCCACGTGTGTATGCGCTGTGTGTGTTTTCGATGCCCCTACAAAAGAGTAAAAAGGGAATCGTAAAACCATATATGATCAAATTAAAACAATCAACACAGAAATTGTCACTCTAACATTAAAAAAACATATGAAGACAGTAGGTATAATGTCAAAATAAATGTAAAATAGGTTGAATTGTACTTTGAAATGTTTTTATTTTCAAATGAAACGATTGAAAAGGGGTTACACAAAGTCGTTAATTCTATTTCAAGTGTTCAAATGTGTTGCGGTTGAGTTTGATGATGAGAACATCGAACCAGAAGAGCAGTGAGTGGGAAAAGAAAAAAATTGTATTCGTTTGGATATGATGGACACGTGTTTCGTCCCTACCGGGGACTCATCAGCAGCCCGAATACCTATAAGAAAAGTTATCGCAGTTTCTTATAAAGCCCGCACAAATCAACTCCTTATTTCGTGGTGTTTTATTTATTAGTCTTTTTAATCGCTAGGATTTTCAATCTGACATATGTTAACAAGAAATTTTATTTCAACCTAGAAACTCAGTATATATCATTGAATTATATAATTCCGTGGCATATAATTAGAATAAATATAACGGCCTTCGCTCATTTTTGACGGTCGAGCAAGGAGCTTACTTCCGGAGGGGAATTGGAGGGTGATTTTTTATCGCCCAAGTCTAAAATTACGATCGTTTATTTACTAATTTCGGAATATTGCTTTTATTTAAAATGTTTTGAAAGGTGATACTAGATGCTGTTTTAGGATAGATATTGCTGTATGACGGTTTTTGCATTTTAAATTAAAAAAATTTTTTGTGAACCACTTTTCTAACACTTGACTCGTTAACGATTAACTGTAGCCGGTAATGGTAACGTAACAACATTAACGACGACTAATTAGTAGTTAAATTACTAAACTCTAATAATTAAGCTAAAACTAAACTACTAATTCTAATTACTAATTAAAATAAATAACAGTTAACACTAACGAACATTAACAGATTAGACTACTAGAGACTACCAACCACTACACTACTACATACTACAACTACTACACTACTACATACTACAACTACTACACTAACAGCACTTGTTCCTAAACTCCTAAATCCTATTGCTTGATTGGTTGTAAAATTTTTACTTACAATGCAGGCCTGGGAATAAAGAATATATTTTTTAAAATAACTAATATTCAATGATTTTTGCTAGTTATTCAATTATGTGGATAATTTCATATAATTAGAATAATTTGTCGTGCTTGGATTATTGGCTTACGAAATTGCATGGATTTTAACGAGCAAGCTATATGAAATATTTACCTGACTTAATATGCTTAAAACATTGTAGTAATTCTCTTTAATTTTATTAAATAAAATTATGATTTTATTAAATAAAATTATGCATTATTAAATTATTGTTGTTAATTTGAAAATAAAAATTATACTTTTGGTCCTGTGAAATCCGGTGGTTTTTTACTGAAGCCGAAGGTTGGCTTAGTAGGATTGAACTAAAGTCACCCTTTTTTACACAATTCGATCATGTTAAAAATTTGTTTGCTCATGAAATAAACGACCCAAATAGATCAAAATTGTTATTTGAACAACTATCTTCATTATCTTCAATGAATATTTTACATTCTGCTGGTGCTCATAGAAATTATGGTTGCTGAAATCATACGTTGGCTTACTGCAGTGGCTTACTGGGTCTCTCATACAACAGTGTCATGGCGGTTTTCTTTACATATAATGCTTTAAATAAGTCAATATATTCATTTCACAATTATTTTTGTCAATATAAATAAAGAAATTGCTTTTGTCTGGTAAAATACAGCGGCCAAGTAAAGCCGTATGTTGGCTTAATCGGATTTTTTTTCATATATAAAATACTATGAGATCAATCAATCAATCAACCAATCAATCAACCAACCATTCATTCAATCAACTAATCAACCAACCAATCAATCAACCATATTTGAAAAATATTTGCAAGGCTTTTTCAAACTCGAATAAACGCTTAACTGTACAGATCTACAAACAATTTCAAGATTTTAGTAAAGAAAGACAAACACAATAGTTGCTTTTATTAAATCAAGAAATATCCAAAAATTATATAACCAAATTAAAAAAACTAGAAACCAGTCAACATTTAATAAATAATTAAATAAATAAATAGACATTATTAAAAAGATTGTTCAAAAAGGTAAAATTTAAGGCGACGAAGAGAATAAAATGTAGTTTGTTTTGTTGGTGTGGGGCTGTGAAGCGAAAACAAACACATCACAAAAAACTAGTAAAAAGTCGCAAGAATAGTAGTCAGTCACCTACCTACAATTACTCTCAGGGCCCTAGCTTACTTATAATCATTAACTCAACTCACCTACCTACAAATATGTTTTTCTATGTTTTTGGAATTTTACATGTTTTAGGTATTTTATTTTACATATTTCAGCGTTTTTATTTTACTTGAAACTTTTTAACTAATGTTAAGCCCTAGCCTACCTACGATTGTTCAACTCATCTCAATCCCTAACTTACCTACGAATTAAATTAAGTCTGGTAAAGAAAATAGAAAGTTGAAGAAAAACATAACGACACCGAATGAATGGATGTTGTGTATATGTGTGTTTTATTGATGTGTGTGTGTAAATGTGCGGGCGTGTACTCTTCAAAAACTTCTTCACTCACTACGGACGAACCTCCATTGCACCGACCATCATCTGACACGCATCGATGGAATGAATTTGACCGGATACTGAAAAACACTAAATTTAAAAAAAAATAATTCTTTAAAGTAAAAAACAAGCCATTGGAAAAAAGGCAACTTATCTTATCTACCTACTTCTCTGACTACTTCTCCATCACTTGCGAAGTTCAGAGCGGATCTCAAAACCCATCTGTTTTCAAAATTCATTGAGGAGCGCTGTTGAACATCGCGGAAATAGCGCTTTATAAGCTAATTGATTGATTGATTGATTGATTGATTGATTGATTGATTGATTGATTGATTGATTGATTGATTGATTGAGATGACAAATTCGAGTACTTTCAATGGTACGATGGGACAAGAACAATGGGACAAGAACAAATTTCTTTTAATATTATCTTCAAATTGTCATCGGAACGATCATCATAAGACCACCATCTAAAACATGTTGACACCCACCACAGCCCACCTCTCATCATTCTGTAAAAAGATATTTTTATTAGCTTAGTAATAAATCAAGGAACAAAAGAACGAACGAATAAATGATAAATTGAACGAGTTAACGAATGAATAGAATGAATCAATTAGTGGAGGAATAATTTGAAAGATAGTGATAAAATGAATGAGAAAAATTAAAAAAAAAACTAAGCCATACTTCAAAAATCGTCGTTGTTGTTTTCTTCAAATTGTCATCGGAACGATCATCATGAGACCATAATGTGAAACGTGCTGACGCCCACCACAGCCCACCTCTCATCATTCTGTAAAAAGTTATTTTTATTAGCTTAGTAGTAAATCAGGGAACAAAGGAACGAACGAATAAATGATGAACTGAATGATTAAATAATTAGTTAAAAGAATGAATGAATGAATAGAACGAATTAACGTCAATTAATGGAAGAATAATTTGAAAGATTGAGGAAAAAAATGAATGAATGAAAAAAATAAAAAAAACGAAACTAAACCTTATTTCTAAAATCGTTGTTACTTCAATCCATTGCACCGACCGCACCGACCACCACATTCAGATCGGCACACAAGATTTCATCCGAACTTCTGAGCGTCAGTCGAACAGCCAACGCGCTGATTCTTCCTATACCACACCATCATACGTAAATCATCATGAGACCACCATCTGAAACGTGCTGACTCCCACCACTGCCCACCTCTCATCATTCTGTAGACAATTAGCGTAGTAGTAAATGAATGCTAGAATCTTAGAAGCAAAAAATTATAAAATGGAAATAATGGCAAATATATAATAACTGAAAATAATAAAGAGATTAAAATGTAAAAAAAACTTACCGTCGTCCATTCGACAAAGGCGGAATGTTGAATGCTTTCCGGTTCCTACGTTGTCCTCCAAAATTGTGCCAGTCCTCTTCGAGATTGTTGTTGAAACACAGCCCGTGGGATGGAGAAAGATTGAGAAAATTCTCATCAGAAAGCTTAGCGGTGCCTGCATCTCAAATTGCATAATAAAAATAATCCTATCTACCTATTCAATTACCTTAACTAATCTATATTAAATTGTTAATGGTACGATAGTCGAAAGTCCCCTTTCATTCTCCCTCCTTGCACAGAGGTTCACCGACAGCCAGAGCACCGGATAGTAAACCATTGCCGTGCGGATAGTAGACTATTGCTGTGCGGATAGTAAACCATTTGCCGTCCGGAAGCCGTGCGGGTAGTAGACTATGGCCATGCCGCATAGTAAATCATTACCGTGCAGATAGTAAACCATTGCCGTCCGGATAGTAAACCATTGCCGGTTCACCACTGGCCACCAAGGCTTACCTCTGACAAGAGACTTCAAAATTCAGAGTCTATCGGCTATCGTACCCTCAACTTACCTATTCATTACAATTAAGTCCTAGCTTACCTAAAATTACAAAACTCAAGAGCCCAATTCATTGGCCAATCGGCACCCACCCCACCACCTACGTAATGCCTTGGGCTCCAACTTAATAATAATAACATAAAACTTAAACCCTAAATCTAATAATGAGTATGTGTTACAACGTAGCCTTAACTTACCTATTCATTACATTACGGTCCTAGCTTACCTAAAATTACAAAACTCAAGAGCCCAATTCATTGGCCTTTCGGCACCCACCCCACCACCTACGTAATGCCTTGGGCTCCAACTTAGTAATAATATAAAACTTAATAATTAACCTACCTATCGATACACTTACAGCGTTTTAATTTACATTACAAGATTGTTCCTAGAATTACATTATTGCCCTTAACTACCTATGAAATTAAATTACTCTCAACCTTAGTAATAATAAATTAGAATGTGTAATGAATATAAAATTACGCTCAAATACTAACATATGTGTTTATGTATGTATTTGTGTGTGTGTGTGTAATACGCTGGTGCGTGTAATGTGGGTGCAAGATAAAATAGAAGAGATAAACTTACGCTGCCTACCTATTCAACTACATTAGTGTTGGATGCTTCCTATCTATCCTACCTACAATTAAAATTATGCCTATTTAACCTACCTATATAGTTACTTAATGTAATTGTGTGTGTGTGTGTGTGCGTGTAAGCATTCTTACTTATTTTTAAATTACAGAGAAAAAAGAATAAAACGTATCCCAGCCAGGCGTGTATTCTTTGCCTCTGAATTAATGAACGTAGCCTGACATCTTCCATGATGAACTCCTCTGGAAGCTTCAGCCTGAATGAAATGAATGAAATAAAAAAATCTTATTTATTTAATTAATTTAAATGAAAATAGAGAAACGAGCCGCGGTGAAACCCGCCAGCCGGAAAAGCCAGCCAATTGGCAAAAAGAGAAACCGCAAAGAAACCGTAAAACGAACCCCAGCCAGGCGTGCATTCTTTGACACTGAATGAACGAACGTAGCGTGACATCACAACCATTCTGATCATCCACGATGAACTCCTCCGGAAGCTTCAACCTGAATGAATGAACCTGAAAGAACCTAAATGAATGAACAAATCTTATTTATTTAATTTAAATGAAAATAGAGAAACGCAAAGAAGCCGACCGGTCGGCAAAGAAAAGAACCTCAAAGAAAGGTATATATATAGGATTTATGCTCTATATAACTCTATATAACTCTATATAACTCTATATAACTCTATATAACTCTATATAACTCTATATAACTCTATATAACTCTATATAACTCTATATAACTCTATATAACTCTATATAACTCTATATAACTCTATATAACTCTATATAACTCTATATAACTCTATATAACTCTATATAACTCTATATAACTCTATATAACTCTATATAACTCTATATAACCATACATACCACCACATTCAATCAATAAAAATCCCACTGAAACCAGGAACCACCGCGTACCTGTTATATGTATGATGTGAAACAAATAAAAAAAAAACAAAGCAAAAAACACACCACCAAGCAGAGTAAAAGAATAGAAGTCCCTAACCTACCTATGTAACTAAATTACCTTATGCCCTAGCCTACCTATATAATAAATTAATTTTTACCTCAACTACCTATGTTTCATTAACTTAACTTAAGACTCATGAAGAAAGAGAAAAAGGAGTAAAACAGAACATAAAATACTACCACACAAACAAACATGATGTATGTATGTATGAGCAACCGCTAAAGAGCCCACCTAAAATATAAAAAAATACAACATACAATCACACAAACCACAGGCATGCAAACTCTATATAACTCTATATAACTCTATATAACTCTATATAACTCTATATAACTCTATATAATAAAATAAATAAAAATAAAAATAAAAAAATAAAATAAATGAGATCAGGCAGACTGCTTCAAGCGAGGCAGAATGCCTGATCTGATTTTCACGTTTTCTCAGCTCCTATTTATACTCGTTTCAACCATACACTTTCACCATTTCAATCATTTACATCAGTAAAAAACTATTTATTGTATGTACTACAGTATTATACAGTCTTAACCACAATGCCAACAGTACTAAATTGACGTCATCGAACGAACGCCTTCGAAATTTTCTGATTGGCTAGTTGAATCTGCTGTATTGCTTTTTATATAAAACATATAATCTTATTAATTATTTGTATACATGGATTCTAGTTACTTTATATATATATATATATATATATATATATATATATATATATATATTCATTATAATTGCAACAGTAATCAATGCTACATATGTATGCCGCAGTTCAAAATTTTCGAGGAGAATTCAAAATAGTTTGAGATCACACCTTGCTTAACATCCGATTCCAAGCCGAGCCGAGCTAAGTTGAGCCATTATGCATAGATTTATGAGCGCTTTTATAATAAAATTATGCTCGCTTTATATATAGAGTATATAAATTCCTTATAAACGCAACAGTCGTAATCAGTGCTACATATGTGCGCAAATTTTTCTGGGAGAATTCCAAATAGTTTAAGACCACACCTTGCTTAACATCCAATTCCAAGCCGAGTCGAGCCAAGCTGAGCCAATATGCATAGAGTTATAAGAGCTTTTATATTAAAATTTTGCCTGCTTTATATAGACTATATAGTATATAAATTCATTATAAATGCAACAGTAATCAGTGCTACATATGTGCGCACGCAGTTCAAATTTTTCTGCAAGAATTCCAAATAGTTTGAGACCACACCTTGCTTAACATCCAATTCCAAGCCAGCCGAGCCAAGCCGAGCCAAGCTGAGCTAATATGCATAGATTTATAAGCGCTTTTATATTAAAATTTTGCTCGCTTTGTATATATATAGTATATAAATTCATTATAAACGCAACAGTAATCAGTGCTACTTATGTGCGCACGCAGTTCAAATTTATAATTTATTATAAATTTTATTTGATGTTTTTTAATTAGTCAGGTCACAATCATCATCATCATCAATATTGCAATGAAATCAAATTGAGAATTTTTTATATTAAAAAAAGTATCTTTATTTATTTTATGATACTATTTTGTTCAATAAAATACTGTTTGATACATATAACTAGAATAAATATAACGACTTTCGCTCACTTTCAACGGTTGAACAAGGAGCTTACTTCTGGAGGGGAGATGGAGGGTGAGGTTCGAGTCAAAAGTTACGATAGTATATTTACTAATTACGGAATATTGCTTTTATTTAGAATGTTAAAATTTTATTTTTTTAAATTGTTATTCAATATGGTAATTAATTACTTTTATTTGGTATAAATTTAAACAAATAAAATCGACATTACCGAAAATAATTAAAAGTTGCAAAATCTGAGATTCTTTGCATATCCCTGCTTTAACCCATAAGAAAGTGTTGTTTAATGGTAAATAGGCCTCCCCTTGTTCCGTGGTATATATATATATATAATATAGACTTTTATTATATCAAAAAATTTATTATATTACTTTATTATCCTATTATATTTATTGAAATGCGATTTAATATTTATGTATAAACGGTAATTAAATATATAAATATGAATGAAATCAGACATTTTAGAATCATGAAAAAAACCAATGGTACCATTCACACATCTAACTAATGTAAACGAATGTAAACAGAAAATTCAATGCAATGGTAAATAATAATAAACGAAGCATTCGCACGTTTTTTAGTAACATTTCTCAGTTTTTCAATGGAAATACTTGTTTCACAGACGGCATAATTATTAATTTTTACATAAATTGACTAAATTTTTTTTATAAAAATGGGTAACATTTCAGTGATTATGAGACAGGGGATAGTTGCTTCCTTGACTGGGGGGTGGGTGTACGAACCCCAACAGGAGAACTTGAGCAATGCCCTCCATCTTTACATGTGGATCTTTTTACTGGCCTACCCTCTCGTCCTTTACATGGTTCAGTATATTTTTAATTTCATTTCTTCGTTTAGTAATTTCAAGCTGTAAAGTGTAATTGTAATCGTAATGTAAATTTTTTATTTCATTTTCTTTCTAATTTTGTTTTATTTGTGAGTCACCATCAGGCATCAAAACAATCAACCAGCACATGACTCAACAACGTTAACTTTACATCCCCGATTTTAATATAACACTTTTTTTTATTTTTAATTTTAATTGAAGCTGAATATCAAAATTAGTTTTAAAATTAATATAATGGAAAAAAATTTTTATAAATTTTTTATCAAATAAGCAACCAGTTTGCAAATAATTAATCACAACATCCATTGTTTCTCACATCAGGTCTCTTCATTTTCAGTCAAGATATGGATACTGTACTGCCTGTCCATCCTAATATTCTTCACTGTAATCAAACTCTTAAATTACAAACTCCATGCCATGTTTGACAGCAAAGACACAAAAATTATCGTTCCAGATGAGTCATCTATGAGTACCAGTGAGTCGATGAAGTTGAAGCAGAGATCTACCAAGGCCAGTCTGGAACAGCCTGCCCAACTTAATGTGTTAGTGCTTCTTGTTTTGCAATTGTGTTATTTCAAAAATATTTTTATTAGTTTATTTTATTATTTTTTTTGTGTTATCTATGAAATGATTAAGTTGAATTACCGTTCACACTAAAACCATTCAGTGGAGGTTTGGAAGGTCTTGAGATGGTAAACATGATGACGTCGTCAAATCAGTGGGCGGCTAGTCCCAACATGACCCCGCCTGTTCTCTGCAGCTCTCGAATGTCCATCTCAGATAGCAGTGGCAGTGGGCGGAAGATCAGGACCGAGATTGTCCAGGCCGTGGTCACTCCAAACACCGACAACACCACGGAAACCTCTCTGACCGACAACAAAGTAACTTCAATAGCTGGAAAGAGAACATCTAACAGTGAAGATGCTGAGGAGGAGGGGGAGTGTGGGAGGAAGGAAGTGGGTGAAATCTGGAAGAAAAAACAGGTTGACGAGATGAAAAATGGAAGCGCTAAGATTGTTGTTGATGGTTAGTTTACACTTTTGTTGTTGCTTATCCTTTAGCATTTAGATTCAGTTTTTTTTAGGCTGTTATTATACATTCAGCCATACATTATAATTATTTGTTTGTTTATTAAACTTTTCATTTTAAACATTCAAAAATTTGACAGATGGAAAAGTGTTATTGAAAAGAAAGGGCTAAAAGTTAATATTGGTAAGACGAAGGTAATGGTGAGTGGGGAAGGTGGGGAATGAGTGATAAGTAAAATAGACCCCTGTGGGGTATGTGATAGGAGAGTGAAGGCTAACTCGGTATTGTGTATAGGATGTCAGAAATGGGTGCATAAGAGATGTAGTGGTGTGAGGGGGGCACTGAAAAAGGTGGAAGGCACGTTCAAATGTAAGAAATGTGTTCATGGTGTGATTAATAGGACGGACGCAAGGACGGGGTTGAGTGATGGTATTGAAAGAGTGGAAAGCTTTGTTTACTTAGGGGATAAGCTGAATGCGGATGGAGGATGTTTGAGCGCAGTTACGGCTAGAGTTCGTGTGGGATGGATGAAATTTAGGGAACTGGGTGGGGTATTGTGTGGAAAGAAATGGTCAGTGAAGATGAAAGGGAGGGTATATAAAGCATGTGTGAGAGCAGCGATGATATATGGTGGTGAAACTTGGGTGTTGAGGAGAGAGGAGGAAAGTGTACTGCAGAGGGCTGAAAGAGCTATGGTGAGGATGATGTGTGGGGTTAAAGTGAAGGATAGGAGGAGTAGTACAGAGCTGATGTCAATGATGGGACTGAATGAGGACATTGTGACATTGATAAGGAGATCGAGATTGCGGTGGTATGGACATGTGTTGAGAAGGGATGAAAGGGTCGGGATTAGGCGAGCGTTGGAGTTCGAGGTTGAAGGAGTGGTAGGAAGGGGTCGTCCGCGATTGGGATGGAGAGAGCAGGTGGAGAAGGACAGGGTGAAAGCGGGGTTGCGTGATACTGAGGCGAGTGACAGATGTGGATGGAGTCGAGGGGTATTTCGGTTTCATCATAGGTAGCCAAACGGCAACCCCCGATCTCGGGGAAAATGCCGTCTAAACGTGTGTTGTGTTGTTGTTGTTATTAAACTTTTCATCCAGCTATCTTTGATTTTTTTAATAAAAATCAAATAGATTCATACTGACCAATCACTTTATTCACTCTGACTAACTGACCAATCACTTCATTTCACACCTGACCCCTGCATAATCGACCATCATCATCATCACCCACATCTTCAGATACTAGCCCTGACAAAACTACCACCCAGCGAAGATCTTCTTTGATGGAACCCCCTCACCACCATCATCAGCATCTTCATCAACAACAATCTTTTCCTCATTTTCGACAACAATACTTTCACCGAAACGGCCAACAACAACAACATGTGACTAACAGGCGACTGAGATCCAACATCAGTTTCCACTCGGAGGCAAACATAGCACATCCCTGTTTTTCAGTTGACAGGACAAACCTCGGCCACTCCCCGCATGTTCGTCGACTTATGTGCACCAGAAATTATTCTCTTCGCAACAACAACTGCACCAGCAACAATTACACGAATAATGATAATAACAGCAAAGGTATCATTGCCAACAAATTACACCGATCTAACATTGTTGCACCAGCCCCAAAATCATTTCCCACCCTTAAACCACTGCCTCCTCCGCCACCACCCTCACTCTCACTTTCACCAATTTTATCACCAATGAGTGGTAATAGTAGCCTAATTAGCAGTCGTCATCGTTGTCGTATTCATCCATTCACTGCTGAGCAGCTTCTAGCAAATGATGATCTCATGACAAGATCTCTGCATTGTTGTGCCGCCAACAACCCTAATTTCAATTCTACTTCAAATCCTATTAATCCAAGCGTTAATCCCAGTCCTAGCACAAGTTCTAACATTAATTTGAGTAGTCTGAAGCACAGGAGTAGGCAGCATAAGTTCAGGAGGGCTGTCAGGAGGGCACAGACCTCACTTGACCACCATAAGGTCAGTTGTTGCTGGATGCTGCTGTGTGTTGTCAGTGCTACACGTTGGTTGTTGGTTGTTCGTTGGTTTTTCTTTAAATATTAGCTCTCTGTTGACGCTAATTTTTTATTTTATTGTGTAAATGATATAAATTATTTTTCAAGGCTCCAGATGAGTCTAGTAGGAAGTTGATGTCGGGCGAACAACCACAAACAACTTTTGAGACTACTGACGACATCATCACCAACAACTGTCTTGTAAACTTGAAATTCAGAGCAAAAAGTTCTACCCAGCATGAAAATGTTGACAAAAAATATTTGCCAACTAGTGAAGAGAATATACAAAATGAAGTGAGGATATCATCTGATGAACTTGAACTTCTTCTGAAATGTCAACGAGACCCTGGAAACATTGCTGTTAAACATGCCGAGAACACAAGGGAGGCTACTGAGAAATGTAGTGATGGTGTTGCCAAAATTGGGGGCAGCTGTGTGGAAGATGCTTTTTCTTTGAGTTCCTACAAGGAAACAAGTCCTGAAGCTGAAATGCTGCCTGATACATCATTTTCCTCTGCTAACAAGTTTGTTGAAGACAATGAGGCTAGTGTTGGAAAGAAGGACAATGATATTGAGAGCCCTGAGAACCATGTTACAAAATGTACTGCTGACAAATCGTCAACTCGAATGGATGACTTGAAAGTTAAAAATGTATCACCGGCCACAAGAACCTTATCAACAGCAACACTATCAACAGCTTCAACAGCCACAACAACCACACTAGCAACATCGGCGTCTGCACTGGCCACAACAAAGAGTTCACTATCGAGAACTTCCAGCAAAGATCTTCTACCTCCGAAACAGACAACGAGCCTTGATTCAAGACTTGTTGTTTCTTGCATCGACAAACTTCCCCAACAGAATGATTCATCTGCCATTCTTCCCGTACATCCCTATTTTAGCACAAACACTGAAATTAGGGAAGGTGTCGCTGGGGAACCAGTAAAGATTTTATTCAAAAAATTTAAACACAAGTCGGTTGCATATGGTGGAGCCAGGTTGAAAGATACGTACATTGATCACTCTGATGATGACGACGATGAGGAAGATGAGGAGGAGGAAGAAGAGGGATATGATGATGATTTCGGTGAAGGAGGTAAACATTCTAGCGATAAAGTCGTCATTGCCGGTAAAGATGATGCTGGTGGTGATGGTGATGATGTTTACAGCCTGGTGGTCATGGGGGGAGGTCTTGAAAAACATGCGTCGTTGCCACTGACCAGAAAGACTCTAACAACTTCTTCCAAGTTGGTTTTTCCTGGTTCTCATCTTTCATTACCTATCTGCTTTTCTCAATTTTTATTTTTTAATTTAGTATTTTTTATTATTTACTGAAACTTTTTAGTTACATCTAATAATAGCTATGCTACTACTGAAGTGTCTCAGAATTTTGAAGCACTATCAAAGGTTCCAGGTTCAAATCCTCTTCAAGTTTAATAAATCATGCATACGTCCATGCCTTCATGGGAAGATGGGGGCTTTGAGAATAACAAAACTGTTTAATGTGGAAAGTTGAAACATTGAACAGATGAATATTTATAAAAAGAACCAAATCATCTTGTTGATTGATAATGGCCACCCAAAATTGAGGCAGAGTCATTCAGTGCACTACTCACAGACTTCTTAGGAATGCATTTCTTTGAACCTTGAACTTTTGTGTTCTTTCTTCTTCAGACAGACATGCACAAAACTTTTCTGCTTCTAACTCTTTCATTTTATCCACGAATTATTATTTATATTTTTATCATTAGTTCTCTTCTACTTCTTATTATTTTTAATTATTTATTTGATTATTATAAATAATCCTGTTGATGAACTAATGCTAACCAGCAGAAAAAATAGTTTTGTGGCATTGGATGATGCTGCTCTGAAGAAGAAAAAGTTGCAGCAACAACAACAACAACAGATGCTCCTGCAACGCAACAACCCACCGACATCAACAACGACATCGACGACATTTCAACAACAAATTCGCAACAGGTTCAAGTTGGATATTAACAGAAACACTCGGAAACAACAACAACAACCCCAAAAACAATTGCAGCCACCTCAACAACAGATGCTTCTGATGCAACAGTCACAGCAGCAAAAACAGCAGCAGCTACATAAACAGCAACGACAACAGCGTCATTCATTGGTTGGCTCAGGCTCTGTTCAAAGCCAATCAAAATTCAGATCCAATAAACCACTTTTTGGACCAGCATCATTATCATCACTGACAACTAATGCAACGCTCTGGACTGAAGGTAAAAAAAGACACAAGCAACGTGATGATAATGATGGCAGAGAGGGTGATGATGATGATGATGACGACGACGACGATGATGATGATGATGGTGTGATGAAGAAGAGTCACCACTCCATCACTGTCATCAGTTCTGGCTGGCAGATTGTCAGCGACAGTGGATCACACACGTCAGGTCGGTGAGGTGATGATGATGATGATGATGATGATGATGGTAGTGATGATGGATTTAGTGCGGATGATGACGATGATGTTAAGGGGAATGAGTACGATGATGATAATGATAATTCAATTAGAAAGATAAGTGATAATCACATGACCAAGAGTTTGGGGATTGTGATCAAATGAGATGTTGTAGATGATTGAAATGTGATGATAAATCCGTAGAATGATGTGAGGTTGACGGTTGTGAACTTCACGGTAAAAGCAACATAGTTATCATCACACACAACTGTCATCATCGTTATTATCATCGTCCTCATCATCGTCCTCATCATCGTCATCATCACACAGATGAAAGTTTGACCATGGACTACCACCTGTCGTCATCAGCAGATTCACTCACTTCATCATCTAACAATGACCTTGACCCTGCACTCATCTTGCCCAAAAATTACCCTTTGCACCATCGTCAACATCATTCTAACCACCATCATCACCATCCTCCATCATCTCATAATGATAACAGTAATGACGATGATGACGACGACGATGATGACGGTGATGATGGCTTCCCAAATCAGTACCCTCAAAAGTTGCCCATCAAGAGGCTCTGCTTAAACGAGGCCACATATTTTCCTCATCATCCTCATCTTCACCATCATCATCATCGTTTCAGTCTCACAGCTCCGCCACAGAAGTTCAATGTTAAACCATGCTTGGTACCATCGTCATCCTCTAAATCCACTCCCATCAAATTTCGACAGTCTTCAAACTGTGAACATGCATCTAATTTCGTTTTTGAGGAGGGGGTTGTTGGTGGGAAGGCCAAACTTCTCGTCGTCCATAATCAAACTGAAGATTCTGGTGATGATGATGATGACGATGACGTGGTGATGGTGAAGTGTGACGCTGGAGTGATTAAGAAGAATGACGACGATGATGAAGATGATGAAGATGATGATGATGATGATCTGTACGTGATTGCGGACGACAAGTTGTCATCATGTGATTACAGTCTTGCCATTGTTAGAGGCCACTACGTGGACGAGACTGGTGAAGTTGGTGGTGGTGGTGGTAACTGTGACGACGACGACGATGATAATGTTGATGATAACAGTGCTGTCCATGACGATGATGGCGGTGTCAAGTTGAGAATCGCTCGTGTAACTAACTTCGCATTTAATTGCGAAGATGATGACGCCAATTGTGCTGATGATGCTGCTGCTGCTGCGAAAAGCGATGACGAGCGCCACGGCAACAAAGGAGATTCCAGCAATGACGTCATAGTAAGTTATTTTGCTGCTGCTGCTGCTGCTTGCGGTGACGACAGCAAAATCGTACTAACTTCTGAAAAGAATAGCGCCAATAAAAACATCGAGGAGAGCAAAACCAGCACTAAGAACAACGACAAGAAAACAAATTTCAGTGACAACAACAACGCCATCAACGACAACAACAGACCAAAATTCATGAGACCCATTTACTACGAAAGACTCGTTCTGACCTCTGTGACGACACCGACAACATCAACCGCAACGATGACGTCATCATCAACGGCAACAACAACGACGACGACGTCATCAACCACCAGCGAACAGCAGCGACGATCGCAACAGCACCCGCCACCGCAAGTTAAAATGGTGAAGGTGCGGAAGAAGCTGACGAGGACGCGAATGCAGCTCTTCATGCATCAGATGCGATTCATCGAGATAACCGACAGCGATTATGACGTCATGTTTAAGGCCCTCGACGACGCCAGT